CTGGGATCATGACCTGAGCCGAAGGCAGCCGCTTAACCGACGGAGCCACCCAGGCGCCCTAAAGCTCTTCTTCTTATGCCCCTACCTTAAATATTGTTTTCCAGGACTCTATTTTTAGCTAATTTCTCTTTTAATCCTATATGCTTTCCTTAGCTGATTCTAGCTCTCTGTCTCCTAATGGACAGTTCTCCTGAGCTCCAGACATACATGTCTGGAGCCCATGTCCATGCCTTTATGGACATCCTTTTATGTCCTTTCAAATCTGAATTTCTGAGTCTGAACTTAGCACCTTAAGAGTCTTCAAGCTTCTTTTTTTACTAAATTCTACCAGAAGATACCACCAGTACCACAAACCAGAAAACTTTACAGCTACCCTATTTCTTTCTTCCCTTTTATCCCCATAATATTCAAGGAATCACTCTGTCCTATTATTTCTATCCTAAATGTCACTCCTCATTGTTCCTTACTTTTGACCCTACTGCCGCTGGTTTCTTTCAGCCCTCTTTACTCACTGCCCTCTGCCCTTGGACTATTCTTTTTTTTTTTTTTTAAGATTTTATTTATTTATTTGAGAGAGAGAGAGCACATGAGAGGGGGGAGGGTCAGAGGGAGAAGCAGACTCCCCGCCGAGCAGGGAGCCCGATGCGGGACTCGATCCCGGGACTCCAGGATCATGACCTGAGCCGAAGGCAGTCGCCCAACCAACTGAGCCACCCAGGCGCCCCCCTTGGACTATTCTTCAGGAATCTAAAACTCTTTGTAGTTGGCCAATACCTTGTTTTCTCTCACAACTCAGGATGTTTGCACATGGTATCTATCTCTCACGCTCTGAATGGCCTCCAAGTGGTTTACATACATGGGAAATGACCTACTTCTCCATAAGTCCCAGCTTAGATTCAGTCCATGAAGGCTTCTCTCATTCCCAAGACAACTTGAGTGTTCTATAAAATACATCTCTCCCATCCAATATAGATCTCCATTAGAGGTTTTTTTCTTTGTATGGTAATTGCTGAGAGGATGTCAGTAATGGATATTTTATGTTTGCATCTCCGTAGTCTAGTGCTGGACCTGGTACACAGTGGGTGCCCGTGAGTGAATGAACAAACAAACATTGATGAGTAGAGAAGAAGAAGCCTCCCCAAAATAGTATGTTGAGTGATAAGAACACCTCTGTGGTTTAAAAAAATCTAGAGTATCACAGAATAATGCCTCCATGGATTATTTTGAGCTGACTCTATTTGGAATCCCACATTTAACTCAGACATTATTTTCATTAAATATAGACCTCTTTGTTGACAGAGCCAGGAAGAGTCTACTGCTTACCTTGTATAATTTGGAAGATGCTGAGGGTCCCCAAATGACCACTGTCAAAAGACAGCCTGGGTACCTGGATTCTCACAAAAGAAGTGCTGCTTTGGATGTGGGCAGAATCTCCAGAAAAAAAGTGGTCAAAAGTTCAAAAGTGTTCAAAAGTGATCCCTGGCAGGGGTCACATTTGTGCAATTGCTGTGTCCTCTCTCAGAAGTTACATAAATATTGACTAACAGTGTAAGATGGGACAGGTCCACAAAAGGAACCATTCTTTTTTTTTTTTTATTTCTATTTTTTCTGTTTTCAGGCTTCATTCTCTGTGTTGAAAGCATTGCCTCTCCCATGTCTAGGTTCTTTTCCTGAGCAGAAGAGGCTAACTTAAGTCCTAGATGCAGCTTTTCACAGTGGTCTCCCATCATTTATGCCCCCTCTGTCACGGAAGAATCTGTCAGAATTCATTCTCTCGACTCTGCACCAGGCTCGCCTGTGGCCATTTGCTGACCAGCCGCTGTGGTGTTAGGCTACAGGAAAAGGAAAAAAGGGGCATAAAATATAAAGATAACTTTTAAGAATACAAGTTGGATGAAGAAGCTTTAAGAACTATGTTGAGGGGCCAAATGTATCAAATCAGTAGGCTCCAATGTAAAGTATGTACAATCACTTCAGTCCAAGCAAAATAATTCTTATTCCAGAAGCTAATCTCTCTGAATGTTTTATCTGCGAAATGTGTGCCTTTATGGTTTCCAAAGGACATTTGGGGTTCATATTACTCCATCCCTCCCTGTTCTTCTGCCTTTGCTCCGTGGTATTCCCTCCTATTCATTCTTTATGCAGTTCTTTTAGGTGGTATTGGGATGTGTGTACTTACGCCCATGGTCTCATGTAGGAATGGAATGATTATCAGATACCTGCTTACTTTTGTGGGAGTTGGGATTTGCTCCTCTCAAAACAAAAAACTCAGCACGTGGCACTGTGTTGTTCTCTACAGGTCCACAGAATCAAAACCCCCAAACAAATAGATGAGCTGATTGAAATTGAGAATGACACACGCACGTGGTACAGAAGGTGTTTTGTCCGGATCCGCACGGAACTCTATGGAGTAAGTAACAGACCCGCCCCGAGTGCCGGCCAACATGTCACCTTTGAAGTTGGTCAGAACAGGGTTGATCGTGGCCGCCATGCGTGGCCCTGTGCCCCCTGCTGTCCAGGACACCTCATTTGCCTGCACTGGGACCAGGTGAAAGGACCCTCCTGGGATAAGTGGGCTGGACAAGACATTTCATCTTTGGGAAGGGAAGGTGCGAGGCAAGGAGTCTTGGCAGGGCTGGGACACACTGAAGTTTTAAGTTACTTTGTCCCTTGGCTTCCAGGCAGCTAAAAAAGTGAAGCTTGCAGGATTTGGTTTCCTAGAGCCTTCAGCCTTGACATTTGAAGTTCCAATGAATCTGGCTAAAAGAAAAGTCAGTGTTTTTATAACTGGTGAAGGGGATTGGGGAGTGGGTTCACTGCATAACCACACAAGAAAACTAACTCTTGAACATTTCACAGATTTGGTTGACTTTCATGAGATGTTTCAACTACCCCGTCAGGGAAAATACGATAAAACTTACAATTGTTTGGTTCACCCTGTCCTTTGGGTAAGTAATATTTCAGTTCTTGGTGAGTGAAATCTTTACATTTCCACACGGTAACTCTCAGTCATGCGGCTCTCCTTTCTTACACTGTTTAATGCTGTTAATATATTAGGTAAGATTTTTTTTTTTCAGTTTAGATTTGCTGACCATGACAGTTTTTATAAATGACTTACCTTGGGGCGCCTGGGTGGCTCAGTCGTTAAGCGTCTGCCTTGGGCTCAGGTCATGGTCCCAGGGTCCTGGGATCGAGCCCGCATCGGGCTCCCTGCTCAGCAGGGAGTCTGCTTCTCCCTCTCCCACTCCCCCTGCTTGTGTTCCCTCTCTCACTGTGTCTCTCTGTCAAATGAATAAATAAAAATCTTTAAAATAAATAAATAAATACATGACTTACCTCATCTTATCACAGCGCTGGGTGACAAAACCAATAGTGCTTGGAAAGTCTGACGAGACTATGGGTGATTTGCTCCCCGTAGCTTCTCTACCCTCTTCTCCTTGTTTGCTTGGCACCAGCCACACTGGCCTCCTTGCTTTTCCTTGAACATGTCAGAACGTTCCAATCTCAGGGAACTGCCTTGGCACTGCTCCCCAGACATTGCCCCGCTCATTTCCTCACCTCTTTTGAGACTTGGCTCACATGTCACCTTCTCAGGGTCACCTTCCTTAAGCACTTACTTAATTGCAGCCCCTCAGCACTCCCTACCCCCTTCTCAGCCTTATTATTCCCCCAAAGCACCTTCCATCTTCTAATATACAAAAAAATTTCTTTATTCTCTAGAGAATAAAGCTCTGTCTCCCCTTCTGTGGAAGCTCTGTGAGAACAGGGATTTTAAACTGTCTTGTTCACTCCTGTATGCCCCCGGCACATAGTAAGTGCTCAATAAGTAGTTACTGAATGAATAGAACCACCATATGTATGTTCTAAGAAAAGAGGAGATAGGAAGAAAATATCAGAATTTTATTTGCTAATGGCTTTAGAATATTTGTGTCCAGCTCTATTTTGCATAATTTACTGTTTAAAAGAGGCAGTTAGATAATACCCTATACTTTCAGGTCAGTTGGCTCTTAATGCCCTAGTAGAGCTCAACATCTGTGCTGCAGGTTCTATCTGTAAACATCCCTAAGTTAAAACAGGTGGGTGATCAAAGATGGTTGATCTTTCATAGTGCCGTGAAGGGTGGTAAATGGAGAGACAAGGAAAGGGTGGATCAGAAGACCTAATACCTCATTCTGCTCTGTGACTTGGAGACACTACCAAGTTTTATTTCCTTATTTCCAAGTTAAGAGGGTAGATTCGGAATATGTAAAGTAACTCCCACTCAAGTTCTAGAAGACGCATTAATCAATGAAGGCAGAGAAGGCTAAAAAGTGCCTACTATGTTCTAAACACTCAACGAGGTACAAAGATAAGTAGTCAAAAGTTCTATTCTTGATGTGGAGATTTACATGGTTTGCTAACATTTTGTTATTTATTGCTGACCACATTTTAAGCTTTATGGTTTCCTTGTAATATCCCTGAAATGTTAAAGAGTGGCTAGCATTTGGTAGATATTCAGTAAATGTTCGCTGAATAAATGAAAAATTAGCTGAAACTCCTCCACATCATTGATGATGTATGTTCCAGGCTAGCATGCTTCCCTCATTGTTGCCACTTTCAAAGATTTTTGTCCTGAGTATGAGTAGAGAGCAGTGTGATTGATGTTCCACCCCTGAGTCATTTCCGCTTTAGTGGCCACCACTCACACCCCACAGTGATTCAGTCATGCTCTATGAAAAGAAGGGGTTGGAGATCTATGGAATCCTAAGGCAGAGATGTTTTAGAAATCTTGATGACAGTGATGAGGATAAACACTGAAGTCTTTTGAGCACTCACTATGTGCTAGGCACTTTGCATCCCATTTAACCAGAGTAAGGAAGGTGGGCACTGTCATTGCTCTGATATTAGACATGGGGCACCTCAGGCTGAGATGAGTATGCATCCGAAGAATCACCTGGAGGACTCCATCTCCAGAGTTTCTGATGCAGCCGTTCCGGATAGCACCTAAGAGTTTGCATTTGTAACAAGTTTTCAGGCGATGCTGATGCTGCTCATCCAGAGATCCTATTTCGGGAACCACCAACTTAGAGCAGCGCTCTCTAATAGAAATAAAATGCAAGCCACATATGTCATTTTAAATCTCCTAGCAGCCACATGAAAGAAAATAAAAAGAAACAGATGAAATTAATTTTAAAAATATACTTTATTTAGCTCATTATGTCCAAAGTAGTGTAATTTCAACATATAATCAATATAAAAATGATTAATGACTTAATTTTACATTCTTTTTTTCATTAAGTCTCCAAATTTGATATTTTATACTTAACAGCAGATCTCATTTGGATTAGCCACATTTCTTGTTTTTTTTAGTTTTTATTCAAATTCCATTTAGTGAACACACAGTATAATATTAGTTTGAGTTGTACAACTAAAACTCTTCCATACAATACCTGGTGCTCATCACAGCAAACACACTCCTTAATCCCCATCACCTGTTTCATCCATTCTCCACCCCCCCCCCC